GCACTCAGTGAATTTCGTTTTTTGCCGGTTGGCTGTTGCGATTTTCGGCGATAAAGGAGCGGGTTTGGTTTATGGCGTGGGGCTGCCACGGGTGGTCTCTGTGACAAATGCACCGGCTACGCCCTTTTTTATTTTATTCAGGAGGCCGTGGATAATTGCGACTCGAGGCAATGGTCAATATTTCAGGATTGATCCTTATCTAGGAGTCTGTGGTTTTTTCCACACGGCCCTGTTATTAAACGCATGCTTTCCAAATTGCGGATTGCGACCTCTGCATGTAAAGTAATAACAGCAAGAAGGGCGTGCATGTTTTGGAATTATAATTCGCTTGTTAAGGCATCTGAAATGTGATGAAGATGTTTCTGCGGTTGTCAATTTGACGTGTAATAATAAACTTTATGGCCTTCTCGTTCAAATTTTGATATGAAAAGCCGGGTGCTAGCTGTCGACACATTGTCCAATTTTGATTCTGATTGAACATATGTTTATTTTAAAATTAAAAACTACGTACTTATATTTGAATCCCACATTCTTTAAGTCTGTTATTTGATGACCTACCTTCACCATGAAGTACATACTTAGTTTTCAATTTTTATAAGATTTCATTAAATAAACATGAACAAACAAGATCATGAAAATCATGAAAAGTGATAAAAATTCACTCGATTTCTTGCGACCACTTTACTAGTTACATTTTTCAAGTTTTTATGTGAGAAACTTTTAAGTTTAATAAGCATTATTTTAAAACTTGGCTTTCCCTACAGTCACGCACCATTTCTGTGACTCTCATAATTTTATTTCGGTGCTGGTATTTATTATGAATTTTTCAACTATGTACTCTCAAATAGTAACTTTTAATTTAAGCTAAAGTAACCCTCTAGTTCATAGTTACGAACTTTATTTGTTTTTTTTAAGTGAAACTTGCATAAAGAATTTTATTTGGTTAAAATATTAACACATTGTAATCATTGTAATTTTAAAAAAATACCAATACGAAGATTTTTCCCATGCTTTTAATTAAAATAAATAAAACAATTAATCTGACAACATTATTACTAGAAATGATTCTTATGATTGAATTTACTATTGGCATTCTCATTAAAAAAACAAATTACTTTTAGATATCCGTTCTTTATACACAAATTTAAAAGAAAATAAAACTAAATTTAACTTTGCACTGAAAGAAAACACGTTGCATGTAAACTACTGGACTGAAAATTTTTTCTTGTAACCAAGATATACTTAAACTTAGCAAATCGGAAGGTGTCAAAATTCTAACAAGCATTCGTACGGTAAATAGTGTAAATTAAGTTTAAATGACAATTAAACTGTGCCAATTTGTCAAGCGGATAACATATAATCAAATTATAAACGACACTTAAATTTAAGTGATTATTAGTTTGTTAACTGCGGGAGTAAAAATGGCCTTTATCACTACTATAAATTCAGCTTAAAAGCAGCTTATGGTCGATATTTAAAAAGAAATGGAATAATACTTATCTAGAACATATGATAGATGAACAGAAGAAAAAGAATGAATAATGTTCTGAAACTGGATCTGGTCGTAATGTACGATATCCAGAACAAATTAATTACCGGTGGTACATGGCAAGGTAACGGATTAGAACCTTTTTTACTTTCTATAGCTTAGCGTTAAAAAAATCTGTATATTTATATACACCTACTCTCCTCTGTTTTCTGTTTTCTCAACACAAAAGTTTAAATATATTAGAAAAAAGTGGAGTGTTTTAGAATTTGATCACCTACTTTTGCAAATATTTCATGTCAAATGTTCTACTTTGGACATTGATTTCACATCAACTTTGCACTTCTCGTGTGTTTGTGAAATAAAAATGACGATCTTTGATTTATTGCAGGTAAATATTGCATTTTGCTTTTTCTATCAATATTTGAATAAAACATTAGAAATAAATAATAACACGTCAGTCGGATACTTGAAGAAGACCGCGCACGTAAATTTACCTACTTGTTCGTCTTAATTAATTAAAGATTTAATGAGTGCCTGCATATAATAATTGTACTGATGAAGTTGTGTAATGTTTTCAAGATTTTCAGGTTTCGGTTAGAAATCGATCGCTTTCATAATCGCAAATACAATTCAGTAAACCTGAACCTGAAAAATGTGCAAGTATACCAAAATATTAAAGACGAATCAGAGAAGTACCATAAAAACGGAGATGTTTCATAACAATTAGTCGCAGGCTTTAAGATTATGTCTGATGGAGAATTTTTAAATGCATTTACAGCAGTTACAGTATTAATGAGTGTGATTTTAACTCAGAGATAACGGCGACAAATTTAGGTTGGAGTTTTAAACGAGTTGTTATTGCCGAATGACAGGGACGGTTTCAAAGCTGACCTCGACTATATGCAGAGCTCGAAGTGGTTAAAGCGGAGATCACGTTTAAATTGCTCAATTCTAATGTTAAATAAAACTTAGAATAAATGAAAATTACTAAGATGAAAGATAACTTTAATGAAAACCAATTGCGATTAACAAGTATTAGTAAAGAATTCCAGCAATTTCAATATAAATCTTTAAAAAAAACAAGCGTTGTTGCAATCATTCAATGTTAAATCGAAATAGACCGTTTAGGCAGCATTGTAGAGCAAAACAGAGGGTTTCGTTATGTTACAAAGAGTATTAAGATTTAAAATGTTTCTTTTTTACTCTTACCCCTCTAGTTCAGAACGCCGCTGATTAAAAATTTCGACATTTGATCTTTGAATCCTTTTAGTTGTCAGCTGTACTAAATTTTGTAATTTCATCTATTCTAAAGTATTGGAAAAAATAACCTATTAAAAACGCAGACTTTTCATTTAAATTACGTTACTCTTTTTGTGAAATCTTGCCTCTAAATGAATATGTAAAATAATTAAATTACGCAGAGTGGCGCCGAGATAAATACCACAGTCTCATTGTTTTTGCCAACTATTTTCGTCGATTTGAATCACCCAGCTTCAGTCAAACTGGCTCATAATTTACTTGATTGTTTCGCTTTTTAACGGGATGGGATGTTTGCGCATGATAAATTAATTTGCTTTTCTTTCAGAAGTGTATCTGCGTGAATAATGATTTTGACGGCAATTACAAATTGTTGCGAATAAATCGCATCTCGAACGAGTCCGACATGCACTGGCGCATCGCTCACCACAGGAGATGAAAAATTGTCATTAATCAATCAAATTCAACACTGAAATCACGAAAAATAGCCAATTATAAATAATGGATGATCAAAGCGTGAAACATCCGCGTGTTCTTCAACAATCGAATATTCATGAAGTCTGATGTACAATGAAGCTTTAAATAATCAGTGTTAATGTCACTTTCAGTTTTATGCTAATCGGACGAGGATCCGGTAACTAGACGCTGAAAAATTCCAGCATGTGTGTAACACTGAAAACGTTTAATTCGTGTATTACAGAAATTACGGTAAATTGGTGAAGAATATTCAATAGCAATCGAGTATTAGAGATATGTTGTTAGTATCTCATGAATATTGTAATTTCCGGATGGACAAAAAGTCGAACACGAAAGGTGTTTGGGTCGATTATTAATTTATTAAACAACAATTCATGTCAGAAGTTATTTATGTTTAATTATGACGAGAATTCGGCGCTGCTTGTAAATAATGCATGAGACAATAATTTGGTTTAATCTATTTAGAAACATATAACATGGGAAATTAAATGATTTAAAATTAAAAATTTTAAATTATTACCTTTGAATTCTTCATATAAACATTACAATTACTGCATAATTTTAAAAAGAAAAATTAAACTCAAATTAAAGATGCAAATAAAGAACTTCTGAGCCACTCAATCAAGAAGAAAAGCATTGATAAGATCCTATAGAAGAAAAAAATAGATTTTTATTGAAAGATTAAAAAAACATTTGCAGAATTTTAATTTGATTGGTTAAGAATATGTATATGTAGTTCTTTTCAATTTGTTTAAACACTACAATTATAAAAACAAATTTTAATTTTAATATATTCTATTTCAAAACTAAAATCTTTAAGGTACAACTTATATTTAATACAATTCAGAAAATAAAATTGATTTTTTTCTTTTTTTCAATTCTATCGTAAACAGTTTACCGCAAATTTTATGAACAAAATGAATATGCACAGCGTTCCATAAATAATCGAAAGCTAAAACCCAGGTTCAGCGCTAATAACAGAAATGTTTGTACAACATTTTTTCTTACTGGGTTTTTTGAATTTTTATTTGAAAACCCTTTGTGAGGCGGCTGAAAAGGTAGTACGAGTGAGTCTCATCCAAATCAGAGAGCCAAGGTTCCACTGTATAAATATTTGAAATAATAACGAATATCTCCATAATTGACCTCAACTTCCCTTTACGATTAAAATTTTGTTAAATTTTGAATAGATTTAGAAAATCTCTCCTGTCAGCTTATAAAAAATGTGTTTTTTGCTAAATAAGACAGTAATAAAAGAATAACCCAAACTTACATAAATTTATGACAAACTATTACATTACAAATCAACATCAAGATAAAATTTGATGTCTTGAGATGACTTTTTTCTTGATATTTACCGACCTAAGCGAAATAAACAAATAACAAGCAATAAATAAACAAACAGGTGGAGCAAGATTTAACTATGTAGTGATACGTTGATGTTAATAATAATAATTATAATAAGAATAAAGCTGAACAACTGAGCTATCTCTGCAATTTTTTAAATCTGTAGTAAATGAATCAAGTTGAAGTTTCGGTATAATCAGAATGCAATTAATCACAAAAATTTATATAAAGTTGAGTACGAGCATCTCCTTAAATAAGTAATATTAAAAGCAGTCACATAAACTCTGAATAAATTAATAGAAAATATGAATATTTAAATAATCAATTTGCATAGCTGATTTCAGTTATCAAAACCGAATCTTTATAGTTATGAATTTATTCGATCGTTGAGATCTTCCAATGCGTCATTTCACTTTCGCCTTCGTCCTACCTTGCCCTGAAACAGCCTCCTGAAGGTGTCCCTCGTGTACTTTTGTTCGGCGCAGACGATCTGCGAGCACTGTTTGAGTTGCGCCTGATGCAGCCTCTCCCTCAGGTTCTCTTCCTCCATGCTGGACATAGGCACAAACGACTTCCTGCGAACGGCAAGACGCTCGGCCGTCTTTCCGCCAACTGAGGCGTCATCGAGCGTCTCGACGCCAGGTGGACGCGGCCCACTCGCCTCTTCCATTTTCACTCACACGCATTAAAAAAAGACACAACAATCACACCAACGGTCACACCAAGAAGACGCGTGCGGACGGCCACAAAAAAACTACTCAAAGATGCTAGAACCGGGTCTAAGCCACGAGATGGTTCTTCTACTCTTAATCAGCGTTGAACTGGCAAGAGGTAGACATCGCAGTAGGCCGGTGCCACTCACTTAGCCCAAAATGGGGTGGGAAGCGAGAGTTAATTTGCACCACTTCCAAGTGTTTTTTTCCTCAAGATACTCAAGGTCTTGGTAGAGTGGCAGTGCTTCGCCCTTGTCAAAACGAAAGTTGACATGTGTCATGTGATCAGATCTTCACCTCGTTTCGGGACGGTTTACGTTGACGTCAGTGTGTGCATCCGATAATTTGTTTTCAAAATTTGGATTATAGTTCAAGGTATGTACCATATTTTTCATTCATTAAAGAATTGTAGGCTGGGAAATTCAGATTCGTATTTTTCTAATTCATTATGTGACTGAGTTAGAACATACATAGTTTGATATTCTTTAATGAAGTAAGTATGGTCCATATTAAGATATCACATTTTTCTATTTTTGGCAATCATAACAATATGAAACGTGTTGATAATTCGGCAAGACTCGAATGTTGTTTTACAATATTGACTAAGCTTTATTTCACCGTGAGGTATATTTTTTTTTTCAAATATTGAATGTTGTATTTATAAAATAAAACATCAATTATTCCAAGCTGTTTTAAAATTTACTTTTTGAAAACAAAAATAGGTCATTCATCATTGATAATAAATTTCAAAATAATAAAGCATATTCTTCGAAATAGGTAGGTACTATAAAATTAAAGTACTATTAAATTAATAATAATAATGTAAACATTGTGCCTACATCAAAATTGCTTTTACTTGCTTTTAATCCTAAATACATTAAAAATACAAACCTCAATTTTGAAGCAATAGAACTTCAAACTTTTCTACAGCTAAAAACTTTGTCTGCTGTAGTCTGAAAAAGCACTAAATTCAAGTTTATACAATGAAATTTCGAACAAAACTGTACAATTAAATAAGTGTTTTTGGTTCATCTCTGGTTATTTTGTTATTACTAATAAGTTATTAAATATACATACCTATGTATATTATATATTTGTGAGATACAAGCTAAGTTCTACAACCTCCTAAAAACTAAAGTTTTTATTTATAAAAATAATAATGAAAGATATTTTCTTTGTAAAAACAATATTTTTCATGTATTTTTCCTTTCAATATATTAAAATACATTGCAAAATATTTGATTTTGTCACAGTGTACATGAAGCCTACCAATAGTAACAATAATTTACAGAAATATTCTCAACTGGTTAAGTATGATTTATGAAGCCATTAAAATCAATGAATTATCTTTCAACTATAAGACTTTAGTAACCGTCTAGTAACAACAATATAAACTATTTACAAGATTAACAAACTAAACAATTTGTCATCATTATAGCATCTTTATCCACTATTGTAATTGTTTATTCTTGGCAAAGGTCAGCCTCTGTGTATCCATAAAATCAGGTAAACTACTCAAAAGATTCTCGCGAGTCGCATTTTGTAAAGGATCAAGTCGGATTTTGTTTAGCAGCGCTTAAAAAGGTGTAAAAACCATTCAAAACAAACTGCCATAAATGTCACAGGCGCCCTATTGTTGGAGAATGTAGGTATCTACTACTATATGCTTTGATTTTTTAATTCGGAATAAAATTACAATAAATTTTCGTGAGGAATCAGATTAACCTGTTTGGCTGTATGCATTAAATCGATGTTTAATTTAACTTTGCGTTATGTTGATATTCAGAGAAAGAATTCGAAGGTGCTCTAAATAAATTGTTAAGGACGCAGATTATCTTTACTACAGTGATTTACGGGGCGGGTTGTTTATTGTTTTTTCAATATAGTTAGTTGTTTGCGTTAGTGACGTCCTTTATACAAATCAGGCGAAACGAGAGATGGATTCCGGATTCTATTAAAAAGTCGATGTTGCTGTTTCTAACAATAGATGTTTAAGATTTGTATATGTATGTGCCACTAAATAAAAGCAAAATCGCTGTTTTGAGATGCTTTGTTTAACTCTATTATTGTAATAAGTAAAAATACTTTGTATCCGTAATAATCCGTATATACAAGGTGATTCACGAGGAATAATGAGCCCGTGGAGGGAGAAACTCACCACTTCTCCCTCCACGAATGAGCCTGATTAAATTCTCGATGCAACTACCATTACTCTTCGCAAGTTATTTTGGGACAACTGTAATGTTAGTTATTGTCTATTGAACACGAAATTTCCCGATCTGTTCTGTGGCTGCATGGCAACATATGCCGAAAGCCAACATCATCATCAACAATACGAAATCCAAAACAAAAGAAGGAAACGCACCTGATGAGAAAATTTATTTATCCTTATTTCTGTGACAATCTACCCATTTTCTTAAAAAAGATAACACCAAAATTCGTTACCTGTAAAGCTAGATAACTGAATAATAATAATAATTGAATAAAAATTTGCCATTTTTTAAATAAAATTTTGTGAGGTCTATTTGTTTCTCTATCTAGCGTGTCTCAGTTAATATTGAAAGTAGTAAACTGAATCAAAGCGTATTGAGAACATGAAAAATTCAAAATTTAAAGTCAGTTTCAAAAATATTCTAGACGCAGAATTCTGAACAAATGTTTGCAATGAATGTTTTTCATTATTTAAAATTATAATTACCTATAAGCTTTACAATTTTTTTTAGTTAAATGATATTTTAAACAAAACTCGTTTGTAAATAATTATAATAATAATAATAGTCTTCTCTTTTTTTCTTAAAAAGATCTAATAACTTTATTTAAACCTAATAATTATAGTGAAAAGCGACTTTTAGTAACCTGAGACTTTTTCTAAATGTAATTAAGGTGTGAAATTATTTTTTTTCATGCTTACTACATGCCACGTAAATGTAGTTACACTTATAGTAATCCTTGATTCTTGATTACTCAATTTTTGATAATTACTTCTAAGATATATAATTTGAAACTAACTCTGTTCTTCAGATAAATATTACACAAGAGACCTTAAAAATATAAATATAGGTTAACCACTACATAATAATATCACTTTATGAAGAATCGAAGTAAACATAATTATAATACTTTTTATAAAAATGTTGAATTTTTAAAAATTCTTCAGTACCATTGCTTTTCTTGCTAATTACTAATTATGATAATAAAAACACAGTTGTAAGTTTTAAGGTTTTTACTTTTACTGCTACAACTTGTTTTATCTATTCAAATAGACTTAATCCTTTTACATACCTACATTTTTTGTTTCTAAACATTTTTTTTTGTACAAAGCAGCTAACATCATAATTACTTATTGAACAGGCTTTTGATATAAGATATAATGACATACGTTTTTCACACAATATACATATACATGTATCACTCTGAAATATATGTACCTAATAGGTATGTGTAGTTAGGTATTTCAATAGGAATTTAAGTTTTCAACCAAATTCCATAGTTTAAAAAAGTTACTTTAAAATTTTCAAAACATAAGTGAGCTTTTAATACTTTTACATTAGTAATACAATTTACTGGTTCGAATGTGCCAAATGCACCAAACCTGAGCAATAAAATAAAAAGCTTACTAATAGCTTGCTACAAAATGCCACACAATAATAATTTGTTACAGTTAAGTCGACGTCGGCCATTATTATAATCCGATAATGTCACTTTGCTCATAAAGTGAGCCAATAACTACGTGTTACGGTTTTTTTATAAGTGGTTCAAGGTGATCAAAGCATGCACACGAAGGGATGTGGTAATGGTTGGAATGCGAGAATTTGTGATCGATCCGTTCTCTAAAAACCAGTAGCCCAAATGACATATCGTTTATCGGCAGTGTAGGCGCTTCACAGCGAGTTTTTTCTTCAGTTCTCTTCTTTATCCCGTTTTCGGATTTAATTGGATACGTGGGCCTGCCCATGACCATTGTCGCCGTTACATAAGCTACTTTTTTTGTCAGCACGCGCCATTGCTTTTTTAATTGCTTTCTTAATTAACATTGGATTTTTTAATTAGAAACCAATGAATTATGTGATAGTCTTAATTGCTGAACTTCTTATCTCGAATTGTTAGACCGGTCTTCGAATTTTGCAGCTCCTTATTGAATTTGGGTACCTAGCTTCTTGAATCTAATTTACAATAAATAAAATAAACTGCTTTTGAATTTTTAATATTAATTTTTTCGAAATATGGATACTGTTTTTATAACATCACTTAAATCCTGAATTTAAGATAATAAAAATATTTGTATTAAAAAACAGTTAACTACATTTTTTAATTCACTCTGTACATACTGGCCGAATTATAAAAAACACCCCAACCCATATCTCTATTATTTTTAAAGATATTATTTTTAAAGATATACCTTCTTCTTGGACAAAGTTGCACAGTCTATTGACATCTATTTTTTGGAGATACTCAATCAATATTGCTTCCAGTTTTATCGGAATTGATATCAATTTCAGTTTTTTTAATGAAACAGCCTGTATATTTTATTGTTTTTGGACTTCTTGTTAAATTGTCTTTCAAAAGTCTTATTAATTATTATTTTTCACTAACAACTACCTAAACGCAATAGTGAGTGATAAATTAAATAAAGTAGGCTGTGGAAAGAATTGAAAATTTTTATTCATTTTATGTAAGACAACCAAACGACTAATAACAAAAAACTTTTTAACTTTAATCAAAGAAGTATTGTCATTATATTAATATTTAAAAAAAATGAATAAGTCATGGGTTGGGGCGTCTGTATTTTTTTTACAAAAAAAAGTAAAACATATTTTAAAATTTGATTTCTAATTACGAGTAATAGTTATTAGTTATCACTTTTCATTTTAATAATTTATGATAAATAAAATTTAGCTAACAGAAGAAACAATAATATAATAGTTAGAAATGTAGGCAACCAATACTACGCTTTACGGTAATGTAAATGGACTAGTTTTTAAAAATAAATACAACATGAAATTTGTCACAGACATTCAATGTAAAAAATAAAAAAGTAACTGTTTGCAATTCTGCTTTTATGAACTACTCAAGAAAACTTAATTATAATTATTACGTTTTATACATTGCTCAGAGTTGTTGCAAAAACCACGTGTAAAGTAACGTACCTATTGCAACTTGAAATTAATCTTTGAGTTCACAGAAATCTCAGAGTTCCAGCAACAGAAAAACGCGACTATTTTTAATGTGGTGTTCGAGAAGCTTGTAACATGTGCTGCAGGATCGTTAGAATGTCAATAGGTCTAATTACGTCCACACAAACCTCGAGGAAAAAGTCGCATAACACCCAAGGGTCCAATAAATATATTAAAAGTTACAAATGACGACCAGTTGTGATTTACGACAACATCATTTTGTAGAATGTCAATGAATTCTTGGATCACGATATATCGATGCCGTAATTCTTTTTCGAGAAACTGAGTAGGTTCGTTGAAATGAATTCAGAAGACTAATTTTTACTACTTATAACGGACTACTTCTTTTAGACAAGCTCAATGCATTTTATTAATTAGGAACTTGCATATGTGAAAACTGCAGAACGATAATGTTGTTTTCACTCACATTAGAGCAAATATTATCTTGTCATTTTTTCAATTTTGATATTATTTTGACTTATTTCTTTATAATAAATTCTGAATCTTGTAAAGTTTCTGACACAATATTAGTGTTGGAAAAAAATTTAACAACACAAGTTTTATAGTTTAAAATTCTTATTGTCTCAATAGCTATGAGACTGGTACTTATATTGTCTGCAGATTGTTACATTTTTCGACACATTAATTTTTATGATAATTAAAGGTTAATTACTATACATGTTTAATATTTCTTTAGTTGAAAACACACCTTGAGAAAAATTTAAAAACAACTCTGTTTGTAACAACATGCTTTTGACTAATAAATGTAGGATACTTACATCATGTTCAAGTTCATTAAAAAATAGTATTTATTGATTACAGATTGATTGCAAATTATTAGTCTTCTTGTGGTGTTTACACATTTGCAAAAAATAAATAACTTACTTATAACTATTACTGAATGTAAGTATTTGTGATTTATTACAGTCTATAAAAAATGTGATAAAACTGTTGAATGAGAACTTTCAAATAGTTATTTTTATAACAAGTGCGGGATGATAGCGATTCCTAAACGAGAGAGTGGGTACCTGCAGTTTAACTCTATAGCGATTATAAAAAAATATATATTTATTTAAATAAAAGCTGCAGACTTTTAATGGCTTTAGTATCTTTTACAAATACAACTTAGTTTTAAGGTTTTAAATTATTAATAATCCAAGAAACATATTTAACAACTCTGACATAAACTGCCGGTTGATTTTCTGAACCACATTTGGCTGGTCCATTAGATACTACGCCAACAGCAACATATCTTGGGTCGTTGCTTTTATCTCTTCTTAGTGTCATTAAAGGCCCTCCACTATCACCGAAGCATGAATCTTTTCCTTTTTCTCCTCCCGCACATATTTCATATTCATTTAAACTTATGTCAATGTTATATGCATTTTTAAATCCAAGTTCACATTCAGATAATTTTTTAACGGGAACCTAGAATGATCAAAAACTGTATTCTCATGAATTTTACGTGGCAGAACTGAACCGACTTTGACTTTGAGTTTGATGTTACTATTTTTACTTGTTTCAGTTTTTCCCCAACCAGTCACGATAAGTTTTTGGCCAACGTAAGACTTGGTAATTTCGTCAATGGTATTTGGAAGGCAAATTGGTTTAATAAAGTCTGCAATAATTGATTGAGAAAATGGTTGTAATATTTTAAATTTGCGAAAATGTAATTACTTACCTGAATACACAACTTCGTGTTTTAATCTTATAAGAGCAATGTCGTGGCGAGAAGTTACATCTGAATTATTATCCTTGTAAGTGAGTTTCTCTTCTACGGGAATATCAACAACAGGTGGTGCACAATTATCAACAGCAGAACAGTCAGGATTAGTATTCAAATCCCATTCGCCTAGACGAACACTTTTTCTAAAATTGCAATTATTTAAATATTGTCTAAAATTAAAAAATAGGTGCGTACAATTCGTCATCAATACAATGTGCGGCTGTGACTACATATCTATTATTGATAAGAAAACCTCCACAGTCAAATTCCTTTTTACCAGACCCTAAAAAAACATATTAAAACTGTTTGCCCTTGGGTAAATTACAATATCCATACTATAATATTCGAGTAATACTGCCCAAGGAAATTCATCTAATTCAGTTCTATTTCCACCAAAAATTTTTTCTTCCACAAAAACTCCACAGGCTGAAGGATCTGGTAATAAATTACTTTTCGCAATGTCAGAGTTTGGAATAATTCCTGCAATTAACTTGGTGTAATTGCGATTTATTAAAGAGAAAAACTTATTACTTACCGCCATTTAGAGGATTTATGTGTAATGCAAACAGTAACACTGCGAAGAACTTTAGAAACATTATAAACAAATTATTTACAACAGCTTCACTCAGTTACATGCTAGGAAATGTGCTTCCACGATCTTGGTTTTATAGTATGTATATGAAAGACAGGAAAATCCACTTCTCGAATTACCAGCACACACCGCAAATCAGTCAAGGATAACATAGCGCATATGAGGAGTATTTTGTTGTTTATGGTTACTGACCTGCGTAACTCTACATTTAATTGAGAACGTCATTCTTTGCGATTTACATAATTATTTGGGAAGTACCACCTGCTTTTAAATATACAGGATGCGCCAGAACTGACGCCCCAGAGAAAAATGCCATATAAGGTAAGATACCAGGAACATGGAAAAAATGTTAAAAAAAATTTATCTATAAAAATTTCGAAGTTATGAGGGTTTAAAGTTTGCACTTTGACTCTATTTATTTCTATTGGAAAAATGATTTTCAAGGTTTTTTTGCTATAGGCTATTCAAAGGAAACAAGGAAACTGTATCCTAAATTATAACTCTGTTCAATGTTTGTGGTTTTTATTGTCAAAATGTTTGTCCCTTTACTAAATAATTGTAAAAAAACATATACAAGATCATCAGTATAATTAAATAGATACAAAAAAATGTCAAATGTCAAAAAATAAATGTTTGACAGATAGAATTTTTTTAACATTTTTTTCATGTTCCTGCTATCTTAAATTTTCCCTGAGGCGCGAGTTCTGGCGCACCCTGTATGTTGTAGTTGTGTAATGTATCAATAGTTATAAATAACAGGGTTATAAGTTTAATAAGAAAATATCACATCATAAACACCCGTTTGACGTCACTAAGATCATAGGTTTAAATTCCTTGTCTAACTAATTAACTAAATTTGAAATAACAACATTATTTATCATTGATTCTAAATTTTATACAATGATAAGCTGCCAAAATCCTATATTAATGCAAATACAATATTGTATTTTATTTGCATTAACATCAGATTTTATATGTTATGATATTATTATTTATGGTATTTGTTAAATTTTGCAATGAAAAATATCGGAGTGTCTAGTACCAGCTATGAATGAACATACGAGTATGTATAGTTGCTCCGAGAACTTTATGAGTTTCATTTTTGAAAGTTGTACTCGTACAACTGATGTTCAATGTTTAAAGAAGTAAGTCCTAATTTCTTTTTGCACCATGAAAATTATTGTTCTCTACTTCCTTTCAAAGAAACACATTCGTATGCAAACTTTCCCATATGTGAATCCTAAAAATTAAGAAAAACAACGGGTCTTTATTTAAATTTGGCGTCGTAGACAAATGTCAGATTACTAACTTTTAGTACGGTGATTGTTGACGCCAAATTGAAATAAACACCAGTTATATAAATCTTTGTTTCTAAGTAGTATCAAAGTAACTACCAGGTGAATAAATAGTATGGAACCAAACGTTTTTTGCTTAAACTATTTATTTTTTGAAAAAACTAATTGATGAGTGATGAACTACTATAAGAATGTGATGATTTAACAAGAATAAAATTTTTCGAAATTTGCTTTTGTTTTTGAGTTCTACAAAAAAAAATATTTTTTTAAATGGCAACCCACTATAAAATCATTTTTCTCTTAAAAGCTATACTCTAAGGATTACAACTACCTGCTTTATATTTAATTTTTTCAAAAATTTTTTTTCACATAAACTGCAATTTTGACAAAAAAAAATCGCATAACTCAAAAACAAAACAAAATTTTGTTCTGAAAATACGATCAGATTTTTTATATTACTTTAATTTATATTAATTATTATTTTCTGGAGACAAATGATTAAAAATAAAACCGCTTGGTTCCATACTTTATATTCACCCTGTATGTATAAAACATACTTATTTATTTATATAGGTACAGTCAGTAAAAAAAAACAATTTAGAGCAAGAGCCTGCGGTCGCCAGACCTTCGTCATTTTATAAAAGCTGAAAATTTGTCAGCGCATACTACCAACATATGTAGAAACGATGGGCAAGTATGAAGTTTGGGTCGTCGTGGCTTTGGGAGATAACAGGTAGCAAAGAAGTAAAAAATGTTAACTTAAAATTATCAAATAAAAAAGCGTATTTTTTTTTATATTTCCTTTGGAATAATATTAGAAATCACCTCATCCATTGCCAGACACTTAATATAGTGGCAACCCCTTGTCGGACACCCTTAAACTTTAATAAATTGTAACTGTTTTAAAAGCTGAATTTTATACATGTTACTTGGACAACTATTAGAAGATGTTTTCCCTCAGTAACCAGACAGTTTCGACAGGTTTACCCCCGGGCAGACAAACATATAGGGTAGCTATAGGCCTCCCATGATGATACTTTGTTAAAACTGAATCATATTTATTTTACTTAAAACTTAGCACTTAGAACTGTCAAAACTGTCTGGCTAATGGGAAAACATCTTCTAATAGTTACCCAAGTAACATGTATAAAATTCAGCTTTTACACTATAACGTAAGTACAGTTACAATTTATTAAAGTTTAAGGGTGTCTGACTAGGGTTTGCCACGAAGTTAATTGTCTGGCAATGGATGAGGTGATTTCTAATATTATTCCGAACAAAATATAAAAAAATTACGCTTTTTTATTTGATAATTTTAAGTTAACATTTTTCTACTTCTTTGCTACCTGTTATCTCCCAAAGCCACGATGACCCAAACTTCATACTTGCCCATCGTTGGAAGTATGCGCTGACAAATTTTCAGCTTTTAAAAAATGACGAAGGTCTGGCGACCGCTGGCTCTTAGACTAATTCTTTTTTTTTTTCATTTTGCTTATGTTAGGATATTATTATTAAATAATCATAATCATAACAAAAATGTAGTACATATTATGACTTATTTAAAACATCAAGGACGCTCAAATTGTTAATTTCCTGTAAATCATTCTTCGTGATAGTTTTTACCACAAAATTAAGTAAAGCAGAAACAGCAGGCTTCTTAAGGCTTTATATTTTTTGGAAGAATATTTAAGCCATTATTCAATGGTTAGTTTATTTAAATTTATAGATTTTTGAGAATGGTGTTATTTTTAACGCTTTATTTTGCTAAGAATCCATGGCACGAAATTTGAAACATTTGTATATATGCCTGGGAAGTCTTCCGACCCACACATCTTCGACCCATAGGACACAATTCCTACCACATACCATACCAAGTCGTTATTTTTGTTTCTGTTGGCATTCATCAAAGGACCTCCACTGTCCCCAACGCAGGAATCTTTGCCTTTCGTTCCACCAACGCACAACTGGCCTTCAGATAAATTTAATTTATAATTGTATATGCTGTAGGCCTCGTGGCAATGTAATCTATTTTTTAGAGGTAGCTGAAAACAGCGCAAACCTATAACAAATACTTTGGAATTAAAATCAAATCTAGCTACCTCAACTTTTAGTTTAACGTTGCTCATTGTCTTGTTCTCGGTTTCTCCCCAACCAGCGATGGTGAAGTTAGCACTTTTGTAAAAACTTTTTTCTGGAAAGATTGGAAGACAAACAGGTTTTATGTAATCTATGGGGAAAAGCAGCAATAAGTAAATAACGTAATGCAAAGTAATTACTTAAGTACCTGAAAATTTCACTGAATCTTTTAATTTCAATAAGGCAATATCGTTGTATTCATTGACACTTCTAGGAACGTTATAACGTTCATGGATGATTTTTTCTTCAATAGGAATATTAATTGGCGGTGGTGCACAATCTATGTCATCAACATTTAGACCCTTTATACAATCCACATCACTTTTAATATCGTATTCGCCCAAACGAACACTTACTCTGTATAAATTGATTTGTAAATAGGTACAACATAATTAGAATTAGGTAAAAATATTTTTACTTACAATTTTAAAACAGCACAATGTGCTGCCGTTAAAACATATTTATTACTTATCAAAGCACCTCCACAAACAAATTCTCTAGTACCATTAGCTGTAACAACAATCAAAAAATAACTAGAGATTAAAAAATTCTTCACAAAGACTACATCTTTCTCTTTCTAATAATGCCATCCAAGGAAATTCATCAATTTCGGTTTTTCTTCCTCCAATGATCTTCTTTTGATAACCAATGCCACAAATAGAACTTTCTAGTAAAGTATTCACGGGGCAGCACACCTTTGGTTTTTCGTCCGCAAAACCACATAAAGATTTTTTTAGATACAAAGTATCGTTTTGTGTAAGTGTTTGAATTCCATTTTCAAAAAAAAAATTGAGCAAAGGGCAATCCTCAATTGGTATGCATTTGCCGAAGTAGTTGTTTGGAGTTTGACACTGATTAGCTAGAAAAAGAAAACTACTAAATGCACAAGAATTATATTAGTCTTACCAGGAATAGTAACCACATTAGCGACTACTAACATAAACAAAAAATCGTATAATATCATTATAGTGCTAGTTAAATGGCGATGAAATAGTTTATTATTTTTATTTTAAGGTGCTGATAACTCTACAACAACTCAACTCTATTTAAGAAGATATGATATAAGGTCAAGCGTTGTGATAATTAGTAATAATCTTTCGACTTTTATATCAGTTGATTGTTGTAGAAGAATTTAAAATTTGTTAGACTTTTAGGTATTTTTTTTCTTTTTATATCGTACGGTTACTATCATCAGCCAAACTAATTTAGTTATTATATTTATTTAAAATTTACCTAGTTTGTTTACAAAATTCGTATTCAAATATTAGGTGTTTTTATTTTTCACTTCTCACACAAATATTTGAAACAACAATTGTAAATTACATAAGTACAATATCAAGTTTTTATGAGATTAAACCATTTTTCCTATTATCTACAAAAGTTTTTGTCGTAAATTTCCATTGTTTCCAGCTATGGCTTCAACTTGCTGATGATCCACTCCATATATTTGGCAACCACGGTATAAACACCAGGTTTATGTTCCATTCCACAAGGTACTGGCCCAAAAGATACTATTCCAACAATGTACCAATGAACGTCTCCTTCTTTATCAACACTAGCACCCATCAAAGGTCCTCCACTATCACCCCGACAAGAGTCTTTTCCTTTTTCACCACCTGCACAAATCTGCCCAACACCCAAACTTATATTGTATTCTTGATATACAGAAATGCAATCGGAAGTTCTTTTTACTGGTACCTAAATGACTACAACTAACCCAACTTGTCTTTAAAATACAGCACTGCTTACTTGAACTTTGAGTTTTATATTACTTTCATAACCACTTTCTGTAACACCCCAACCAACAACAGTAAGCTTGCGCCCTGTATATGTTTTATTGAGTTCTTCAGTGGTGGTTGGAAGACAGATGGGTTTGATGAAATCTACAAAATAGAAAACTTTTTATACTTTTTTACAATCCCCTTTGGATTTTTATTTACCTGTAACGTTCACAGACTCCTTCAGTCGTAAAAGTGCTATATCATCATATTGATTAATATCATTGGGGTTAAAATTTTCGTGTGCTATTTCTTCTTCCACATCAATAGTCACAGGTGGTGGTGCACAAACCTCTTTACTACCAAAACCGATACAATCAGGGTTAGATGTGGTGTTGTACTCTCCTAATCGAACTGCCACTCTGTAATAATTGCTAAGAAATATAGGTCTTCTTTGCTTTTTTTACCCACAATTTTGCATTTGACATAACTTTCCTTTTCACACAATGCGCCGCCGTCAAAACGTATTTCTCACTGATCAAGACTCCACCACAATACAATTTTCGCTTACCATTTGCTAATAAAATTAAAATATATACATTTAATCTTTATTGACGCATTTATTACGTTTTTGGTACTCCAGTAAGGCCACCCAAGGAAATTCGTTTATTTCTGTTTCTCTTCCCCCAAAAATCCTGCTTGCAGTAAAAACACCGCAGTGATCTTTATCAGGAAGCAACAACTTTTTCTCAGGAACGACGGCTACAAAAAATGTGTTAAGAGTTAAATTAAATAAGAAATGTATATACATGGGCAGCACATCTTTGGCCAGAGTCCTTCGTATCCACATATAGATTTAATGAGGTATTCATTGTCGTTTTTTGCTATGGGATGACGCTCCAAGATAGTGCGTAATGGTTCGCAGTGATTTAAGGATCTGCAATCGCCATGCTCACCCCTTGGTGTAGTACACGCAACTACTAATATCAGAAAAAAAACTAAAAATTAGTCATTTTTTACACAAACTACCAACGAAATCAACTTGCAATTTTATTAATAATTTAGAAAAATAGATGAAACTATTTAAAATTTATATTTGATCAACCAGAATATTTTACAATGTTAAAACTTTTCTACGAATACGAAAATCGAATTAGAAAATAAACATTTTACTAATAATACTTGTAATTATTACAACATTTTTAGTGCACAACTTTTTAATAGTTTTCATATTCTTCTTATATTTTTAGTAAATAGGGATTAAGGGGGGGGTTCCAATTTGAAGTACTTATCCACAAAACAAACAACTTTGCTTTGTTCTACTATTGAAACAAAGGTAGTGTTTTTATTTCGAAGTTTGAGACAACAACACGTAAGAAATCCACAAAATATTTACGGGAATAGGTTTAAAGAGAGGTATAAATTTTAGTTTGATCATTTATCCCAACGACGCATTTAATAGTTTTTCCAAAAACCACTCTAAATCGGTATCTTACTTCCTCAACATAACCTTTGTTTTAGGCCCATTTAAAATTGAAAATCAAGAATATCGTCAATCTCTAGTTTGATCTTTCATCAAAAAAACGCATTTGATAGTTTCTTTACAAAGCACCCTGAATCGGAATCTTACTACCCCAAAGATACCCTTCTATTAACACAAGCGCAATCAAGCCCCTGTTAAGTAATTTTACAGATTTACCTACGTATATTCCTTACCCACAGCAATAACAGCTACAAATACATTTAAAAGAACAAAAGTTTTTACAGACGCACTGTCACTATGATTTGTATAATTATTCATATTTATTTTAATTTTCGTTTTTGTGCTTTTGTTGGTTAAAAAACTAGGATATTGTTACATATTGTATTACTGATAATAGTTCGAAATACAGCTGGTATAAACAAAACTGATAACATGTAAATTATCCCTCACAATGATAACATCACATCTTAAAGCAGTAGCATCTAACATATACTGAAATAAAGATTATTTTTTTACATAACACATATTTTGTGTTTTGTTTTATTTATCTATTATCTATCTTTGTAATGTATACTTAAGGTATGAGCAATTAATTACTTTGCATGCCTTAGGATTTTCACTTAGTCGATTTGCTGTAATAAAATTAAATTATTACTTGAAATTCTGACATTCTTCGGGTATTTCCACAGACGCTTTAAAAGAAAGTCTTGAAGATCTCTATATTTAACACAATAAATCAACAAAAATAATTCAAAAAAATTTATTACGTATATGTTGGACCCTTATAATAATTTTCTTAATAAAAATCACATTTATATAATACATCTCTTCTCTTAAGGTTTTAACTTATTAACAATCCAATTAACATATTTAGAAACTTTGGTGTAAACTCCTGGCCAATTTTCCATTCCACACGGCGACGGTCCAAATGAAACAACTCCTGCTGCATACCAATGGTCGTCTTTATTCTTGTCCCTTATGACGGTCATCAATGGACCACCACTATCGCCTCTACAAGAATCCCTGCCTTTCTCACCACCAGCACACATCTGTCCTGGACCCAGTCTCACGTTAGCAACGCTGTATGTAGAGCTACACTCGGAAGTTTGTTTAACGGGAATCTACAAGAAGCAATTTGTATAGATTAAACAATGACAAGAAAACAATTTACCTGAACTTTGAGCTTGATATTACTCTCTGATCTGTTCTCAGTTTTGCCCCAGCCAGCTACAAACAATTTTTGACCGATGTATGATCTGCGAAGCTCTTCATTTGATGTTGGTAAACAAATGGGTCGAACGTAATCTATAAAACAATATAAAAACGAATTTTCAATGTTTGGAAGTGATGCATTAGTAAATGCTCACTTTTTTCCGGTAATGTGTAATGTAATGATTGCTTTTTTAAGAAGTACATAATTAGTAATGATAATGAATTACAATGTTAAGGTGATGAAAAATAACTTTTTGCATTACTTTGACGCATGCAAACAGAAACATTTTGAAGATAATCTTCTAAACATGTGATTAACCGTAATTTTAAGCTGGCCGCGAGTGTTTCTTGCCACCAAATAAAATTTGAGATATACCTACTAGTAAAAAGGTTACAGAGATAATGTGCTTTTGTGTGGGTTTAAATAAAGCAGATTCAAACAGCACCAATACGAATGAAAGAAAAAAACAATAATGCTTTTAAAATTTTCTATACTTAAGAAATTCGGGTATTTTATATCTGAAATTCTTTTCGAGATATTATTCGCTAGCAAATACCTCATGTAAGGCATACACGTCCTATTTTCGTTATATAAATATTTCGAGTTATACCACTTATCTTTGTAAAACTGTCTGAACGGTCACTGGCCCCAAAATTAATCGGACAACTAAAATTTTGCGATTTTTCACACTGCAATATTTTTGTTATTCTTTGTCTGATTTTGACCAATTTTTGTTCGGCGCAAAGTTGTTGCGAGTTTCTGTTACGGTTTTCTGTTAAAAATAAGTTGTTTTATTGAAAAAAAATCATATGGGTCCAGAAAAAGCAGCTCAAGCTGTTGTTCTACATAATGATGGTCGTAATATTTGGTATACGTATTGGAAATTTGCTTGGCATTTTAATTTTCAAATTTTCTTGAGGACAAAAATAAGTACTTATACCTACTGTTTTATTTCTTTTATTATTATTAAAATCCTTTAAAGTTCAAACTTATTCAGATTTTTTGTGTTCAAAGACGTAATTGTGCTTTTTTGGTGACATAAGTAATAATTTTCGGTTTAACTACCTTTTTATGTAGCCTACTCTCTGAACGAATATTCAGTAATTTTAGAACAACAACGTCTTTTTCAATGCTTTGTATCTCTGGGGTACCAGAACATAAAATTTTGAAACAGATTGGTCCTCATTCAGTAAAGAACGGGCATTAATCTGAAATACCTAAGTAAAAACTGAATTTTGTGTCTGTTGCACATTATAGCTCAGTATAAAAAAAGTCAAAAAACAGTGCTCTCGTCTTTTAGGTATATCTAATACTTACAAGAAAAACTAAATATGTTATTGAATTAAATGAAAATGTTCTGCAAAGTTCCTTCTTTAAGCCGAACAAAAATTCGTCGAAATCCGACAAAGAATAACAAAAATGTTGCAATGTAAAAAATCGCAAAATTTTAGTTGTCCGGTTAATTTTGGCGGCCAGGGTATTAACGTAAAAATGCTTGTAAAAGTTGTAAGCATTGTCATTGGGAGTTTAAGGTCGGCCATCATAATAATTTAAAAAACCAGTCACTTTAGATTTTTGAATTCATTCAAAAATTACTGCAATGACATGATTGGGCCGTTTGATGTCGGCCATTATTATAATGTGAGTTACCATGGAGAAACCAATCACATGAAACTTTAGTTTCATTCAAAAATACCGAAATTGGTCGATTCAGATTTACATCCATTTATTAGGATAATAGTGCGATGGAGTTTTTGCGCCTAATTACATTTCGTTGTACTTGACTGGGAAATAAAACTTTAACCTCAAATCAGGAATAGGGATGGTAGTGTTTTAGTCATCTCGTGTGGCTGCAAACACAACATAAATTAGCAGCGAGGATACGGAAGAAAAAATTTTCTTCAATTTTAAACACAAGAAACGAACCATAACATCACTTTCTAGAAGGAGGAATGAAAAGACTTTTCTACAAACTGCAGAAGTTTACACCACAAGCTGCAACCACTTTTGCCTTAAACTTGGAACTTGGACATCGTGATTCAAAGTCAAAAAAATTGGTTTTTTTTTTAAAGAATGCGTGCAATATTTAGTAGCGGATATCTCACATACTTTTTACGGTACAAAAAAAAAGAAACGGTCGTCTGGTAGGAAATTCATAAGCTCCACTTTTGAACTATTTTTTCCGTAACACGTTCCGTTTTCGAAATATAAGTGAGAAATCATAAAACGACACTTTCTTGTAACCCCCATTCGACTCGCTCGCCTCCAAGAACCGGTGATATTCAGTATGTTTACCTTTTAACCAGTCTAAACACTTCTCTGAAGTCAAAAATTTCCCAACCGTGTATTCTACGATCCTTTGTAAGTATGCAGGTGCGCCAGAACTCACGCCCCAAAGAAAAATTGCAAGTAAGATTAAATACCAGAAACATGGAAAAAATGTTTAAAAATCTCTATCTGTCAAAAAATTTTGACATTTATTTTTTGACATTTGACATTTTGTTATGTCTATTTAATGGTACTGATAATCTTGGATATGTTTTTTTACAATTATTTAGTAAAGGTACAAAAATTTTGACAATAAAAGCTACAAATAACATTGAACAAAGTTACAATTTAGGATACAGCTTCCTAGTTTCTTCTTCTAATAACCTGTAGCAAAAAAACTTGAAAAATTTTACAATTTCCAGCAGAAATAAATAGTCAAATTCCAAATTTATACTCTCATAACTTTGAAATTTTTATAGATAATTTTTTTTAACATTTTTTCCATGTTCCTGGTATCTTACCTTATATGGTATTTTACTCTGGAGCGCGAGTTCTGGCGCACCTGTATATTTTAACAATTTTTCGTAATAATATCGAAATTAAAATTGTACCAATAATATTTGTGTAAAAAGGTAGGTACAAAAAGAAATATTTCATTAGATCAATCATTATTCATTATCATTCATTAGATCATCATTATTATCTCTGAAGACAATAAAATCAAAGTCAACGGAAGAAATAAAAACATTTACGAAAAAAATTGTATTATACTAAAAAAATTGAGGTTAGTCCTTTAAATTAAGAATAGTTTTTATCCACAATCATTCTATAAAGAGACTTTATTCCACACTGTAGAGGCGTATAAAGTACCCCTTTATCCACTAGTGGAATAAAGTAACGTTATTCCCCTGTTAGTAACCAGGGCACCTCGTCACAACTTACTACGTTTAACCGAAAGCACATTTGGCGTGACGTTTAAATGTCAGTCTAATTTTTAATTAAGTTTACAATAATTTGGGCCTGTGATTAGGTGGATAAAAGGTTATATTGCAGTCGAACTGACGTTCTCGCGGTTAAACATTCTTGCGTGGATAAAACACTATCTAACACACTCTTACAATAAATAACTATTGTTTTATTCCCCCAAATCAAAAGTAATGAAAAAGCATTGATAGTAATGCATTACATTAAAAAAATAATAATTAGAAAGTAATTGTAAGTAGGTAATGAATAATGGTAATGATTTAATGAATTAGGTACCAACCTGAAAATGTTACAGTGCGTTTCAGCCTTAGCAAGGCTATATCGTGATATTGGTTCACGTCATTAGGGTCATAGCTTTCATGTGCTATTCTTTCAACCACAGGGACGTTGATTGGTGGTGGAGCACAGTCCTCACCAAAACCATTATTGATGCAGTCTTGGTCAGTTTCAGTATTGTATTCGCCCAAGCGAACACTTACTCTAAAATTGCAACTTGAAGACAATATGTGTTAATTTGTGACAACAATTACAGTTTCCACGTCTTTGGCAAGTCTTTCCCTTTGACGCAATGAGCCGCCGTTAACACGTATTTCTTACTGATTAAAACACCACCGCAGTAGAAACCTCGACTACCTCCGGCTGCAAATTTTAAAACAACATCAATTTCTTGTATTCTATTGTAGAAATATAGTACGTTTTTCGTATTCAATCAAAGCCATCCAAGGAAATTCATCCAAATCTGTTTTCTCTCCACCATAGATCCTACTTTGAGTGTTCAAACCGCAAACGTCACCCCCAGGAAGTAAATTACTAGACACCGATTCAACATCTTAAAACATATTTTTAAATTATTGGTGATCAGTTTTGTGTCGAGTAACAATTACCTGTATTTTCAGTCGGTCCTTCTACAACTGGTGGAGGGTTTGTAGTTACAGTTGTTCGTCCAACAGGGCAACATACCTTGGGGTAAGTACCGACAAAACCACATTGAGATCGGCGAAGATAATCGGCAGTGCTAGCTGTAATTGGACGCCTTTCTAAGAGGGAGTACAGTGGTTGACATTTGTTGATTGGTTTACAATCGCCCTCTTCATTATCGGGTGTTCGACAATTGTCATCTAAAGCAAAATCAAATTAGAGTTAATTTTTGATGTTTTACTTTTGTTTGCAAATGAAAGTAGTTAAGTGAGAAAAATAAACTCTAAAATAAATAAACTCTTCTCTTTTATGCTATTTTGACTGAATGTAATATTCGTAACTAAAATTTAAAAACAAAATTTATATTTAATTAGACACTTTTATTTTTATTGTTAAGTGACGTGTGCAACACCTATTATACTTACCTATGGGTATTATAAATTAATCCAAATTTATTTCCGGAAAAAAAAGAAATCTGACTTCTGTGGCCAGAAATCTAGGTATTTTCAATTAATCAGTAAAAGTGGATTTATGATATAGCTTCTTTTTTTATCACTGTATCAAAAAAAAATCGACTAATATTAGTTGCGAAATAATCTCCGTTTATACATTTCCAGTGAAAATGCATGGCATTATACATAGTGTTTGTTTTTAAATCAGTAATTAATTCAACAGCAAACCATAACAACATTGACTCTTGACAAGGTTATCATAATGCAAGACTGACATTACTCCAACTACGGATTAACACAATATTTTTCCGCAGTTGAATTGTAACTTTTAGGAATGGATTGATGTTTTTTACAATTATAAAGAAACTTACCTGCGTTTAAAACCTGTATTATCACGATTAGAATGAAAAGACTTCTCACTAACATTGTAAACAAAATTGTAATTAACAATAATATGAGTGCCGCGGGTTCTCACTGACCCATACCGATTTCGAGCAATCTTGTATGAGTATCTCGCCTGCCTTGGAAAGTCCACCGTCTGTTCTGTTGAAATCACATGAACTGGAAATACTAATGGCTTGGAAGACGTCATCAAAACCCCACCGCCCCTCTTTGCAAATTTTACACATTTTTGTCATCTCTTTCTGTTTGTGATTGCTAATGGTAATGGAGTAAATATTGGTCATTTGCTGTTGATAGAATTTGTGCGCATGAGCCATTGCGGGATTTCCCAACAGACAAGAAATTAACACATTCAAATTAGCCTATTCGACTTTTTTTAGTGCCGATATTTGATAAACTAATATGATATTTGTGCTGATACAACAAACTGTTCTGCCAACTGCTGCTACTGTGTTTTTTACGTAACACAAACAAAATAATTATTAAAAGTTTTTTTTTTGCTTTACCTAGGTTTATAATGTTTTTTTTGTAATTACATTCTTCTAAAACAAACTTCTTGACATTTTTTGTTAATTTGTTAACAAAAATTGCTGGAAACATAACTAAATAAGCACTTTAAACTCAGTAGCAAATACCTACAATATTTTTATAAAACCTATAAATTGACTCCTAAAAGCTGTTCATTATTATCTAAGAATCTTTCAAAATATGCGCAGCTGGTATAGAATCATTCTGTTAGTTAATTGATAATTGTAATAAAGGAAAAGAAGAACAATATTCTGTACGTCACCACGTGTCAAAGTTTTCAAGTTATGAATGATCTTTTCTAAATAAAAAGTGCATTCAAGCAGTAAAGTAGACCAGAATAGGTATATACAGGATGTTTCACGTAATTTTACGAGGCCTGCGCCTGTAAGATGCAATCAATAATACATATTCCGATACGAACTGGATTACAAATTTTGAAAAATTGGATAATCTTCTCTAGTTTGTTCACCCTTTCAAAAATTACAATGTTTTTAGTTAGTTAGTGATTATGATAAATAAACTACAATCATATTCATGCCATCTCTTGATAGAACAAATTATAATTGTTTCTGAAAAACTGTAGTTTATGACTATTAATGAAACAGTGATTAGTTTGACAACTACTGTCATGGGTTTCCAAAAATTAAATAATTAAACGTGTATTTTTTGTATCCAGTGTTCTGTGACTTTTGTATATTTGGGTGCGTACATTAGGCGCAAGCCTCGTAAAGTTATGTGAAACACCCTGTACATGCAACATACATAGGTACATTTAAAGAAGATTACGACTAAAACACTAAAAAAAGTTAATTGTTTAAAAAATGGCACCAGCGAATGAGTAAATTTTAATTAATATTTGTTTTGAAATAGTATGAGTATATATTACCTACCTATTCAATTTGCAATTTTTTATGTCCAAAAATGTTAATGAAATAATAGAAGTTTCGTAGAAAAAAAATACATAAGAATCATCTAACAAAATATACCAACTCCGAGAAACACAAAAATTATATCAGAGAATCCAATAAACCTAAGTTTACAAAATTATATCTTTCTGTTAGTATTTATTAATGACAAAAAAAAGTATATATTTTTTTAATTTTAATAAACGTGGTAACGTCGCACTAGAGATCTAAAAGCAAGGATTGATTATTATCAAAGTATACAGAATTATGGAAAAACACATAGTTGAAAAAACTGAGTACGGTTCTAGAATAGCGGAAACCACAGAATTTACTTAGGCACTTAAATGAAAATAACAATTATCAGCTATGTAAAATAAAGAAAACAAGAAATCTCAGTTAGAATGCATTCTTAACAATTTTTTTAACGCCCAAGTCGGGGATTTTACGTCGCAATTACGCGCCTAATAAAGTTATAAGTTGTAACATTTCGATAAAGCAAGTCCTATTGATTTGAGTTTCTTTTGAAACCTCTTCTGATATCATTAAAAATATCACCTGTAGAATTAATAAAGTCACTAACCCAACGGATGCACTTATATTGTAACACCCTTATATAAAATTCCTAGTTGAAAGCTCAATTATCTTAAAGAAAATTCCAAACTTCATTCATTTTTGTCAAAGGTTATTTATGCTCTGTAATTTGCCATTACAAGTTACGAGTACAAAAAAGCGTTTATTATTGTCAATAATAACACTGGTTAACAAATTTGAACAAATTTTCGGTAACATTGATTAAACTACCTTCCACGTTTATGATTTTTCACTCTGATTTCGAAAATTTTCACAAAAATGTCTCATCACGTATCATTCGTATGTTACCAACTTCGTTCTGACACCCATGTTAAAGCAAAAGAGTAGTGAAAATAATTCACCTATTTAATTTATTTTATTACCAGCATACAATATTTTAATAAACTAACTTTAGAAACATTAAAAAAGTCATATATTACAATAAAAGAGTGAAATTTCAACATTTTCTTTTGTTAGGTACGTTACTGTCACGTTTTAAAAAAGCTAACAGTAATCGCCCATCATGGAAGGGTTCCAGCGGCCTTGATAGCGTTCTTTCATCTTTCTGATGTCTTGGTGAAACCTTTCCCATTGCTCGTCACTGACAGCCTCCAGATTTATTGGAAAAAAATCCAAGTGGGAGTGCAGAAAATGTATTAATTAAATTATTGATAAAAAAATGCAACAAATAAACGGTACGTGTTATTAAAAAACTAAATGCATTTTGTTATTTAGGAAGTAAAAAACTACTATTGACCAAATTGTCATCTATGTTACCGAACCCTTGTTGACCTGTGTAATTAGAAACAATAATCAGCTTTGTAGCATTTCGTTATTATTACGGCAATCATAGTCAAGAATCGTAAATTTCAGTATCAACAAATTCCTTTATTCACGTATTAAAGCATACAATGGGTATAAATCGATTCTAATCAAGGTTCAATATTATCTAAAATCCATTTTACATAATGTGCCACATTTGTGTAGATGGCTGGCACGTTACTCCCACAATTCGTACTCCCAAAAGAAACCACTCCAATTAGGAAATATCGCGGCGGTCCGTCCAAAGCTTCTGGTTTCATTAAGGGACCACCAGAATCTCCTCCACAGGAATCGTAGCCGATCTGACCCCCGGCACAGAACTGGTGTTCGCTAACCCTTGCAAAGTGACCAATTGTTTTGTCACACATTTCAGGCTTAATAATAGGAACACGAACATGCAGCAAAACAGTGCTGGATGTACCTCTTTTCACATCGTTCACACCCCATCCAGCCACTTCCATGGTGGTCCCCTCGTAATTTTTTTGCAAAAGTGGGCCTTGAGGCAAGCAAATGGGAAGCACATAACCTAAAGAAAAATAATTTTACAATAAATTTACAGTGTTTAAAATTACTTGTGAATGAAATTAAATATGAAATTGTATCAATTTTTAAGAAAGCCCTTTAATAACACTTTCAATGCACTTCAAAGTCAATACAGCTTTTCTAGAGTGAAAACTTGCCCAAAAATGCGTTAAAAAACGCTAATTGCTATTTGTCATATTTTGGAAGATTAATTACAAAATATTGCTTCCTATATAAATAATAATTTCTAAAGCCGCGGTCAATTGATAGTGGCCATTTAATTTATTGCAAAGTTGGCGGTCCTTAGCCCGCCACCTCTAGTGTGTGGGTTGTCTCTATGTTGGCCACAGAAGTAACTAAATTGTGACAGGCATAGTAAATTTTATATGTGAAGTATTCTAACCCGACTTTTCCAGAATTGTCATTTTTACATAAAAAAAAAACAATTGGATGTTTGAAGTCGGATTTACACAACTTAATTTTTACAAATTTACACAGGTAAGTGGTCACTATGAATAAAATGTTCATAAAATGTTTAAGTCCAAAATACGTATTAAATAAATTATTCATACAGTAAATATTAAAAATACAAAATCGGAAAAAACTAAAGACACTTTTGTGTAAAATGTTTATTGCTAAAACATATTTAAACAAAATAAAATAGAAGCAAAATAATTTGATCCTAAAAATTTCAATGCTAAAATGTTCAAAAACAAAAAGTGAGTAACAGGTTCGCAGAAACGAAAGGAGGTACACACGCCCAATCTCGAACGTCACATTAGCAGACAGTTTTTAGGACATTAGCAAGGGCCCCTGCGCAAGAATAATTAGCAAGCACTGGAAACAGTGCGCACATGGTGATCAGTCAGTTTGATGCGTAGACGTTCACGCTTTCGCCACTCGCATACTGCTGTGCTCTTGATACCACGATTTTGTTTTTGGACGCTTTGCGATATTCCCGTTTTGCTTGGAGACATTTTGCTTGAAAAAATTTTGTCAAATCTTAGTTTTGGGTGCCTACTTTTTCGGTAATGAACATTTCTTAATCTAAACCTCTTATTAAAAGGAGTATTTAATTAAAATTTTTTGAAAAAAATTGGGTTTAGGTTTAAACATTTTAAGAAAAATATAATTTATTTACGATCACGCGGGCTCCCTTGACCACGACTTTAATTATATATCGAAGCAGAGTAATGATGAAAGCGAAACTATAAAAAAATTTTCTCCTGTGGTTTAGATACTATTTTTTATTATACCTGATCATAGTCCTAAATTAAAACACGCTGCAGCGTGCGTAATTTGGCCTTTATAGCACGCTGAATTTTAAAGTTGTCTAGGTAACAAGAAATAGTGAAATGTCTAGACCAATTACAACGTGAAAAAATGTGCTTAACAACGTAAACTAGTAACCGTCTCTACGCAAACGATTCGCAAACAACCTTTGATAATTTCATTATGTAAATTCACATTTTTTCAATGCTTATAAAAGATCTTAAATGAGCAGGCATAATAAAAAATAGCGTATAACACTCGTTTATAAGCGCCTTTAAAACACTTACGACGTTAAAAAAAAACCCATCGTGCGTGTTTAAAAGGCTTGCTTATAAACTAGTATTATAATATACTATTTTCACCACTAACACATTTGTTTAATCTATAGTTCTACATTAACCATGCCAAAGATTGTCAATTATTGTTTTTATTATCTACAAATAGGAATGAAAAATCCAATATTCGTTAATGTGGAAAAAATCAGTTTCTCAAGCATCAAACACTATGTCTTTTAAAGCTAGTAGTGAAAAAATATTTATGAAATTAATTAAATGTAAATACTACCTATTATTAAGTTATTAAGCAATAAAATGTTATCGCATTTTACATGAATTGCGCCTACGTTCAGTTGTTTTAAATAAAAACAGTACTCCTTACAACTTCATATTTTTTAATTTCACTTATCTGTAATAAGGAATCACAATTGAATTGGAAAAAAATAAGTGATATTCAACTATTACAAATAATAAAATGGTTATAAAAACAATTATAATACTCATTTCTTTACGTTTTGCTTTAGTTATAACAATAAAAATTTTACGACCATATCAAGTTTTAAAACAAACGTTCATTACATAGTTAACAGTCATGTAGCAATAAATATTATCAGCTATTTGGTCAAATTTTGCATACTATGATTTAAATTTTTGAAATTAGGTGTAAAACGTAAAACGCCCCTGTAGGCGTCTACCAGATGTGTTAAAAAATTAAATGTTTTAAAAATTTTGTGAACAGTAACTGTCAAAGTAGTAACAAAATTTGTTGAACCACATTTTTTTAAATAATTAAATGAAGTCTATTGTGGACTGTGGTTCTCGAATTAAGTTAAAATCATTGAAAAAGTACCTAAATAATATTTTTAACAAGCTGTAATAACTAGTAGCGAAATAAAAATGTTAATATGTTAATATGTTCCAAAAATAATAGTAGATTATGTTATTACGAGTAAGAGTGATTGTTTATGTGGCGAAGCTGAACGTTCATTTTGACGAACGGAGTGAGGCAAATAGATTCAGCTGAGCCACATAAACTCACTTTTACTCCAAATAACATATACTATTTTATCCGCAAACGATTCAGATGGAGAGAAAAGAGCAACACACCAATAATCAAGTAAATCACCTCAATAATCAGGACGCTTTGCAATAAAATCGTAACAAACGTCACGCATCCATTTCGGAATTTGTGTTGAGATTTCGAAAGTGTTGATTGATTTAACTGGTGAATAACTGGTGTAGTTTATAGTGCAATGTCGAATGCTGATAATCTACCTTGTACCTCTCCAGAAAATGCTGAAAAGGCGAAAGAGACAAGAAAGAGACAACAGTGATAAATGTCAAAGTAAGTGTAAAGTAAAAGTGAAAACGCCTAGGCGTAAAAACAGTGTTTTTACTCCATGTCTGAAAAGTAAAACTTTTACCTGTGTCATTTAGTCATAAAAGTGTCATTTTTCTGACGTTTGCGGATAAAAGTCATTTACAAGTAAAACGTAGCTTAGCTACAAATACTTATCATTCTAAAAAAGTTGTGAAGTTATAGCTACAGCTACTAATAGTTTTTGTATGATAAGCTTGGTAGCTATGATAATTCTAACCTTAAGTTAGAATTATAATTTAAAAACAATTTTGTCCCAACAGCTTCAATAATACAAAGTAAACCTTCGCCGCTGATAAGTTACCATCCGTTAAATGTAAAAGTAGACCTGACCGTACTCAGATTGTGTGTTATTCTTTCGTTGCGTGGACTATAAATTGTTGAATGTTATTCATACCATACCAACATAGAACGACGAAAAATTTAATTCACACCCATAAATATAAAAGAGATATATTTTTGTAAGACTCACTATATTATTTAAAATTCTTGTTCTTCTGTAAGTTCATAAAGACGTTTGCATATTACTTACTGTGAATTTCAGCGGGATGGTCTAGTCTAATTAAGGCGATATCATGTCTCATTTTTGGTTTCCCATAGTTTTCATGATAAAATATTTTTGCTGGTTTAAAATCTTGAACCGGTGGTGCACACACATTATTTTCACAATCGACCTCAGTTTTTGCATTTAATTCCCCTAGTCGTATCAAAACTCTAAAAACTCACTTTGTAAAACACATAATTGGTCAAAAGCAATACAACATACAAATCTTCTTGCAAATTTGCGACACAATGAGCTGCTGTAACCACATATAAATGGTTTATAAGCGAGCCCCCACACTTGAAAATAGGGATGTTAATAAGTGGGAAATGCGCTAGATAGGCAAGACGAGCTATCCACGGAAATTGCCCTATAGTAGCAGATACACCACCAATTATTCTGTCTGATACACTTTCACCGCACTGCTCGTGGTCAAGTAAATGCCAGTTTGGATGTTCAGTAATATCAAAAGCTGTAACTATAAATATTTTTTATGACTAAAATTTCAATTAGGCGATTTGTTTGTACTTACGGATATTAGCAAAGTGTATAAGAAAAATTATGCCAACCCTCATTTTCGAGCACAATCACAATGTTAAGAAGACTTGTTTGAGGTTACTCAATTTTAGGAACAATGTGTCAATAAAATGGTTCATAAAATTTTGCGATAACTTTTTGCGCAACTATTAAATGTAGGCTTTCATAAAACGATTTAAGAAAAAAATATACAGGCGGTTTCTTATTTTCTTGAAATTTGAAAATTATCACATTTTTGAGATAGCAACTGATGACTTGAATTTTGTTTTAAGAAAAAAAACATACAGATGTTTCAGACTTTGCGCCCCAGAGAAAAATGACAAGTAAGATAAGATCATGGAAAAATGTTTAAAAAGTTCTATCTGTCAAAGAATGGTGATATTTATTTTTTAACATATTTGACTTTTGTTATATCTATTTAATGTTACCGATAATCTTTTATATGTTTTTTCGTAATAATTCATTAAAGGGATAAAAACTTCAACGGTCAGCATAATATAAGTTATTTGAGTAGGTATTTTTGATAAATTTGAATGGCATACGTAAATCTTGAACGCCAAAACATCATTCTTTTGTTTCGATCACAAAATCGATTTAAATCTGTTTATTCAGTCAGCTCTCAATTTCGCGTATAACAAAATTGTATTGAAATTGAAGGTATCTTTAATTGCATCAAACATCGTGTAAAACCGATCCCATTTTGTTTTGTCTTATCTGTGGAAGGTGTGCTACGAGAAAACAATTATTACAATTTGTTTATTTATTATTTCTTTATTTTCTGTTTTATTTGTTTTTTATTCTACGTGATAGAATTCAACTATAAGCAGAACTATGACCTATATTACCAATTTTTTTCATATTACGTAAAAAAATTCGAACAACTCTCAAAAAGTTTCAATTTGCACAGCGGTGATTTGCCAATAAAAGCCACAAACAACGTTAAACATAGTTACAGTTTAGGATCCAGCTTTTTTGTTTCCTCTACTAATAGCTTGCAAGTAAAAAAGCATGTAAAATTATTTTTCCAACAGAAATAAATAGACTCAAAATGCAAAATTTAAACCCCTATAAAATACAAGGTGATTCACGAGGAATAATGAGCCTGACCAAATTCTCGATGCAACCACCATTACTTACTCTTCGCAAGTTATTTTGCGACAACTGTAATGTTGAAAATTTCGTCAGGCTCATTATTCCTCGTGAATCACCCTGTACTTTCGAAAGTTTTATAGATAGTTTTTTAACAATTTTTCCCATGTTCCTGGAACCTTAACTTACGTGCCATTTTTCTCTGGGGCGCGAATTTGGAAATACCTAGTACCTACCTACAGTTGCGGAATTAAAATTTCGGGCAGTTTTGTCATTTTCATGATGTAAACTCTAAAACAACCTTTACATTAATAACCTCATTTTTTACTCTTGTCATGTTTATGTCATTTTGACTTACTTTCTTTACTTACTTTCAAAAATAGTGATTTGTGGCATAATAAAGGATAGGCAGCAGATCAAAGCGATACTTAGTTCAATTAACAAATTTCCTAAGACAGACAATTTGTTTAATTAACAATTTTAACAACAAAAAAAAACTAATAGTTAAATGTCAGTCATGATGACAGTAAGAGGTAGTTTACAGTAAACTTTTTAAAGTTACAGAAAAATACTGCCCGAAATTTTAATTCCGCAACTGATACTTTTTACACAACAAGAAAAAACTAAGAACCACTGACAAAAGTAAATATGAAAATAATCTAAGGAAATTGGAAACGTAGTGGTGCAAAAGGCCAATGTTTTAGTTATTATTTCTATCAAAAACAATAAATAATAAGTGGCCATTTTCAAATGAACACAAATCACAAAAAATCAAGTAATTAAGAAATTATTTTTGACAATGACAGTTGTTCATGAATTAAAATTTTTTGGAAAGTGATCATTTAAATTTCAGAATGGAAAATACAACTACAACTATTACAGAAAGAGAAGTAACAACAACTGAAGAAACGCAGGAAACAACAAGAATTGAGTTCCTTTATAGTCGTGTACATCTTTTTTACAATAAAAAATTTTACTGGGAAACTCTTAAAAGCATCATTATGTTCTTGTTGGGGCTAAAAATTGCCCAGGAATGCTACCATATTGTTATCCCAATCAAGGATTATGAACCATTTAGAGGCTACTGTGGAGGTGGAGGTCGTTTTGCAATATGAAACTGTGTCTAATAAAACAAATTTGATATAAAAATGTTGTTTATTATGTAGCTTTTACAATTTCTTTACTAGATCCAATATTTGCTTTAGTCTCATCTTCACTGTCAACATCTGTATCTGATTCACTCAACTCCTCATCAATCCTAAAATACAACATAATACATTTAGTCTAATGTTTAGATAACCTATCATAAACTTACCATAATTTAGGTTTTTTCTTTTTAACGCCACCTTTACTCTCATCCGATTTCCTTTTTGTACTACAGGACGCTTGTAAACCTTGAATAACAGCATCTTCGACTTTTTCTGGAAGCGCTGACCTTATTTTATCATATTCTTCATCTCTGAATTCATGTTTTGGTTGTTCAATCAAACGCTCCAATTTCTTTTGCTTTTTCTCAGCAGCTTCCTTTTCACGCTCAGCTTGTGCCGCAATCCAATTCTTTAGTCGCTGTTCCTCATTTATATCGCGCAAACGACGACCACTCAAGTCTCTACAAGCCTCTCTGTTTGTAGTCTTCTCAATTTGGGCCCCAATAGCCCTGAGCATAGACCCAAAACCGCCTTTACCGCCCACCAAACGAAAAACAACTTCAACTTTACCAAAAGTGTTAGCTTCATTTTGAGGAATACGTCTGCCGTTCTTCAAAAGATAGAAATCCTCTTGTGGAATTTGCTGGAATAATTGACAGTTAAAAGCGGGGTTATGTTAAGTAGAACTTGTATTTACCAGAATATAAGAAATTCCTCTGTAATCCAATGGATAGAGCATCTTTAACAAAAGTTTGTGGCCTGAGTAAAGCTCCATTATCACACTCCTTTGACGAAACACTGTTTAAAAACGTTACTCTCGTCTAACTTTTTCGATAATTCCACTACTTCTACACACAGAACACAGAGAGAGTCAGAGAGCTCTACAGTCTACAGTGGTGCCACCATGCTAAGCAGTAATAACTATAAAACCCTCAACTACTATCAAAACATAAGTGTTAAAAACAAAGTTAAGCAAATATTATGTTATAACAAATATAATACATTAATAATCAATTATAAATACATAAGCTTGTCGTAAGAAATTAATCTACTTTATAGATTTCTGTATTCTTTGAGGCATGCTTGAGTATGCAGCACACAATACATATGCATAGGCGGCGGATTTGTGGGGGCTAAAAATTTTTAAAACTTTTTCCAAATAACATCAGTTTTATTATTTTACACTGAAAACACTGCAATTAAATAATGTTTTTTCATAAAAAAATTAAATATTGTTGGCACTACTGTTAGTTTTTTTCTTCAACTTTTCTACTTATTTAAGATTCTAATTTTTTAACGCTTATACAGGGTATTTCACGAGTGATAATGAGCTTTACGGATTCTTCTTCTTCTTGGATCTTCTTGGTATGGAAACGATGAACAAAAACACGATTAGCCCGTCACACCAAACTTTTATTTTAATAGCACAACGCGTTTCAACCACAAAGTGGTCATCCTCAGGTGAGAATAAAACTAACTAATTTAACAATGGTAATGCCTTATATACTAATTTTCCGACTTTCACTTTCCCTACCCCCAACTAACGAGTAGAGGGGAGAAAAGGGAATGGGGCCGTTGTCTGAATTCATGAGATTATCTCTA